CCCCAAAACCCCAAAACCCCAAAACCCCAAAACCCCAAATTCAATATACAATATTGAGTTTTACCTACAGATATAGATATGAGGGATATCTTAGCACTTCTAACAATTTTAGCACCTGCTTTGGCTGCACAATATAAGGAGGAAAACCTGAAGATCGTTGAAGGAGAGCCAACACCTTTCTCACACTGGTCTTGGGTCTGGGCAGTTGCTTGTATAGTTATCCTTCTCTGCATGAGAGCATTTCTTAAAAATAAGACAACTGACAGTTCTAATGTTAATGTAAAGGACGAACTTGACAAGAGAGATGGAGTCTATAGAAGAAAGGATTTTGAAGCTGATAATGAAGGCGTTCTTCAAACTCTCCCAAAAGATGAAGACGGTTGAATTAAACTTCCCTTGACCAAAAGAACTAAGATTAACCACGATACATATCATTTCAGGTAATTTTTGCTTTTAAGAATTTCAGGTTTGATTTTCCAAGCAAGGACCAGGAGTTCGGACTTCATATCGGAGGCCATGTTGTGTTTTATGCGGAGGTAATGAATCCAGAGACAGGCAAAAAGGAAGAAATAGCTAGGAAATATACTCCAGTCTCAACTGTGCACCAAAAAGGATACATTGAATTTGTCATTAAGATCTATCGTGCAGGAGAAAACCCTAGGTTCCCTCATGGAGGATTGATGACCCAGTATCTTGAAAAATTGCCAATTGGAGAACCTCTCAAAATGGAGGGCCCAATGGGAAAACTGAGCTATCTTGGGTGTGGCAATTTCTATATCTCTAAAAAGTATCATATTAAAACTGAAATTGGAATGATCGCTGGAGGAAGTGGAATTACTCCTATTTACCAAATTATTCAATCTGTTGTACATAACAAGGACAAGATCAAGTGTCATCTCTTGTTCGGGAACAAGTCTGAAAAAGACATCTTAATTAGAGAAGAGCTCGAACAACTGCAGGAGGATTATCCTGAAAACTTCAAATTAACCTACATCATTGATAAAGCTGACAATCCAGACACTTGGAAGGGCGAAACTGGGTACATCACCCAAGAGATTTTAGAGAAGTACATGCCTAAGGCTGGTGACGAAACCCTCATCGTCACTTGTGGGCCTCCCATAATGAACCAGCTTGCCAAGAAGTTCTTGCCAGAACATATGATTCACAAATTTTAAAGATTTCCTTAAGGAATTAGATATTTAGGGGTTTTGGGGTTTTGGGGTTTTGGGGTTTTGGGGTTTTGGGGTTTTGGGGTTTTGGGG